TGAAAACAGGTCTTCAGTATTTGACTGTTATCTTATATGCAAAGAGAGCAGGTCATCAGATATCTTGAATACCTTCCACACTAAACCCAGCATTGCATATGCACTCTAATTAGTCATGTATCAAAGTTATTTTGCTTGCTTTCAGATATCCCAAAGACAGCTTGATGAAATCTGTGATGGTATTCAGTTCTAAACAGACAGAATGAAAATGAAATGGGTACTTCTTACTTGCACTTTTCTCCAGCAGAGGGTACTCAGAACTCAGAAGTGTCTCATCTCCCTATGCCATTTCTGCAACACCTCCTTTCAGCTGTAATCTCAAACCCAGCTTTACCACTGTAACACTGAAACAGATATTTTCCCTTTGGAGATTTGTTGACAACTCTCACTACATTTTTTTACCACGTGTCAATGGTTTGCGGGCTGGTTCGGCCCAGTTCCGTGACGAGCAGGGTGGAGGGATCCGCGGATCCGTGCCACTGGAAAAGGGAAACAGGGGACCCCAAAATAATTAAAAATAGTGGCAACAATCTGAGGAGAAACAAACTAATTTACTAAATATAGTATCAGAATGCAAGATAACACACTATAATACAATATAATCAGAATTGAAGCTAATACATCAAATATAATGAGAGAGAGAATGTCTGAAAGGTGGATAGGCCTCACCACAATGCTGAGGTGAGATGCGCAGTCCAGTTGAGCAGCAGGGAGACGGGAGCAGCGCCCATGACGAAGAGCAGGTGAAAAGAGCATCAGGTAACCTTGCCAGGAGTTCTATCTCCTCTCCCTGACTGCGAAGTCCCCTGGGGAATGAAGTTCTTCTTCTCTTCTGGGCAGGTACCCAGGACTTGAGCATTAACAGTTAAACTCCCAGTGCCCCACATGATGTTATGATGTGGAATACTGAAAACCAAAAAATCACAAAACCATGACACCATGCAAGCCAAGGTTATACAGGAGCTAGAGAAAATTCCTTAGAATTGTTCTCTGCACAGTCATTCACCTTGGATCACAAAGTGATTCTCTAGGACATTGCATCTTATAGCACAACGCATTTTCAAAGATCTTAGAAGTGGAAAAGTTTTAGAAGACAAAAAAGAACTTATATGAGCTATATTCATAGAATCACAGAAAGGCCTGGGTTGAAGAGGACCACAATGAACATTTAGTTTCAACCCCCCTGCTATGTGCAGGGTCACCAACCAGCAGACCAGGCTGCCCAGAGCCACATCCAGCCTGGCCTTCAATGCCTCCAGGGATGGGGCATCCACAGCCTCCTTGGGCAACCTGTTCCAGTGTGTCACCACCCTCCGTGTGAAAAACTTCCTCCTAATATCTAACCTAAACCTCCCCTATTCCTACCTATTCCTTTATATTCCTACATTATATACAGTTTGTTAGTATATTTTAAATCTGAGATACATTTAGGGAATGAAGCTGTGTGAATTCATGCTTCTTTTCATAAACAAAATAATATTACAGTTTTTCACTCTTAGCTATGTGTCCCTTAGCTAATATTATTCTAAGTTTGTGATACAGCATTTTGAATGTACAAGGAAAAGGCTATGGTAAGCTGATTTAAGTTTGATGTTCTTTTTTATTTTAGTTTTTAACTCCAGCAGGTAAGAAGTGAAGATTCCTAGCTCTGTATAACTTGTTCCATAGTGGTTTGCATTTATCAGACAGATTGCCTTTGCTGATTTTTGCATCACTAAAACAGATTGTACTGTAGTCTTAAACTTTCAAAAACGTATGAATGACTTCAGAGTTTAAAGATGAGATTTTAAAGATAATCATAGGCTTATTTTCAATCAAAAACACTTAACGTGAAACACATATGCTTCCCAGTCCTGCAAAGAAAGGATCAATATAGAAGCCAGTCCATGCCGGCCTCAGAAAAGGTCAGACTTTATAGCCACAGTGCTCCTCATAATATTTGTATTTGAGCCTATTAGATTTATTAAGAAGCTTACTGAAACACGTTTTGTCACTTTGCTTTATCTAAAGGCATGTGACTGACCCAAACAACTTTATAAAAACATTTCTGTCACTTAGAGTATTTTTCTTTTTCATGCAAATATTTACAGATGATTGTTTTGTCTACAATAAGGCAAAGTTAGTCAACATTCCCGGACTAAATAGACAAGAAGTCCAACCAAATTTAGTATACTCTCAGATAGACTTTAACATAAAGAAATACATTTTCTTCTTCTTTCTGTTTATTTTTTTTCTTAGCTGTCTTTCTAAAAATAATGTGGGATAGAAGGCAGAAAAAATCCATTCTCTTTGGGTGTGATGGGGGAGAGAGTCAGAATGGCAATAGTGTGAGAACTCATGGGTTGAGATAAAGACAGTTCACTAATGAAAGCAAAAAAAGGAATTCATTCACTACTTCCCATCAAATCAAAAATATTATCAGGGAAAGTCCAAGGCAAGATAAGATCATGAGATGTAGAAGGCAAAAGCATGAGAAGCTTGGGGGGAAATGGGGGAAAGCAAAGCACCAACAGACGAGAACAGATTGCAAATTGATGGGACTCATCAGTGCGCCAATGCATATGTCCAAAAGTCAAACAGCACAGCAGGAAAGGGCAGACAGAGTACAAACATTGTGCCAGCAGAAAGGATTGGATCACGTATGGCACAGCAAAGGGGAAGAATGAAACAGCTACACTGTGTCAGTCACCAGGAGCTACATACTGCTGGAAAACATTCAGGAGGACAGTTCACAAGTAAACAGTCTCAAAATATAAAAGTGAAAGCAAAGTTATGTCGCCGGTAACCCCAAAGCCAGCAAAATGCTGAAGGAAATGAAAAGGGAAACAGTGACCACTTGCATGGAGAGTGCTAGGAAAATACCTTGGTGTACCGGTGTGAGGAGTAAGAGAGAAGAGATCCTTCCCATGGGCATGTTCAGGAAGGACATTTTCTTTAGGGGACCTGCTGCCTCCCATAGCACACACTCCGCTGAAGGTTAGTGCTAAAACTTGGGGGGAACAGGTGAATAACAATGACAGAGGCCACCAGCCGATCTCTGGTGCCCATTGCTGCATGTCCAACCACACACATAGATAGAGGAACATCTCTGCCTGCCGAGAATTTGCAGTCCTGGGTTGAGCAGCTTTGAGAGAGGTACTTCTGTGCTAGTGCAGTTAAAGGGCAGCTGATCCAGGATAGATGGCACGTGTTCCTCCATGCATCACCATGGTGGTGGTGTCAGTTCACCATGCTACAATAGCTACCAGGCCAGCATTCACTGTCTGTGCATATTTAAGTCCACCAGGGCAAGTTTGGGCCTGGCCCATGTTCCTTGCTTTTCAGTATTACACATTTGCGCGTCAGCATTTCTCCCAGAAATGTTTTTCCTCATTTGTTAAAGGCAGACACAACCTGGCAATCAGCACTGCTTCTCAATGTCAGTCAGTCACTTATCAGGTCATTATGCCTTGAAATAATTCAAGGTTTCTCAATAGTGCACTGAGGAAGGAACAGCCAACTGCAACCCACATAGCAGAACTGTGAATAACAACAGATGAGTTCTGGTAAGTACTGGTCCCAGTTGTGAGGGCAGAAGAGATTATAAACACCAGGTTGTTTTTATCTGCACTTTGCTCCCTCTCACAAATCTCTTCTACCCTTTGCAATCTCTTGCCATATCCATGAGTGTTAGAAAACACAGTGCTATGCCTGTTCCCTTTGCCTATCTGATGGTGAGAACTTGCTGTTTTAAGAGTGCAACAGCCACTTAGTTCAGTTTTCTGCTTGCCTTCCACAAAGGTCATCCCTTTTCCATGTAGGCCAGATTATGTCAACTACTGATGTGGGACACCATCCTGTGCTATGAAAATCACAGCCACTGAGACATTTTGCTCCAGTGTACACACCTTCTTAAACGCCAGTTCTTGGGGCACTGCAAGCTGGTGGTTCATTTTTGGACCCTGAGACAGATTAAGTGACAAAACCAAAGGCCTGAAAGGGAGTCACAGCAGAAACGCTCTGTTTTCACCCACCTGTTATCAATCTTTCCAAGTGTAGCAACAGCCTTGAGGACAGGCTTAGCTCTACCCTCACTTTTGGTGATGGCTGGATGTGATGGGCTAGCAATTAGCAATTACTGGGGAATTCTCACAGCCCCATAGAAACTATTCGCTGGAGATAACCTGAAGCTACCAGAGGAACTATGCTTGCAAGGTAAATATAAGGCACTCTCCCCACCCTCTGTTATCAGACAAACAACAGTATTTCTGGGCAAATAACTTTATTGCAGTAAGGAGAAAGCCTTCCCATATTTCAGTCTTTACCTTGAGCGAAAGTGCACTTCCTGAAGTCCACACTGCAGGGCTTCTCTTTTCAGAGAAACCCTGGCAGAGCTGAGCACTAGCAACAGCAAGATGGGGAAATGTACAGAAAAAAAAAGAAGAAAAAAAAAAAAAAGTGGAAACGAAGAGGATGAAAGCCTGCTGGGAACTGATTGTCTTATGTTTTGGGGTAGTTGTGTTTTGGTTTCCCTCTCATGGGTTTATCTGGAGTAATGACAGTGTTGCGGAGAATAGCCTATAGGTCACAGGCAGGATTATTTATTGTTGTTTCTTTCTGTGTTCTCAGTGGACCACCTCTGCTTTTGAGCTGCAGCTTGGCTCTAGGTAAAGCCTGAAAGATGCCATTTTACCATCAAAAGAGCCTGCTGGGCTCATTGTGAATGGAAAAAAATGGGGATGCAAAGAGGTTTTCATCTACACTAAGTGAGGCGTGTGGAGGACTGCTGACCTCCACTTTCAGCAGCAATGATAAAAGGAACACCTTGAGTCCTGTTGGACAGGGGAAACAATGTGCTGATCCACATCTAGCACTTTGGAATGGCATCTTTTCCTTTTTGGAAATACACCTTTGGAATGACATCTTTTGCTTTTTGGAAATACACCTGACATTCTGTAGACAGGCTATGGCAGGAGCTCTTTGCGTTGACACATAGGATACAGCCAAGGAAGGACACACAATTAATGGTTTGTGACAAAGAATAATAAATGACAGATTCTTTCAGTAAAGAATATGTTATCAGTCCTTGATTATCAGCAGCAGAGGAAACAGCGTCTCCCAATCATCTGAATGTTCATTTTCTGGCAGGAAGGAGACCTACAGTGGTGTCCCTAGTGAGTCATGCTAGCTGCTCCTGCTGGGATGCAGAGAGCAGAGCCAGGTCCTGAAGTCTTGGGAGCAACAGCAGGATCGGAGTGACTTGCATTGGCTAATGTCTTGCAGATGATGTCAACATGCAACACCTAAAGGGAACAGCTGAGCAGTCAGTGCTGGCTCATTTACCCACCAAGAGGAGATGAAAGCACTGGATCATACAACTAAGTTGCTACCATGAACTGAGATAAATGCTTCAAAGTCAGTTCAGCTACATCTCCCATATACCTATCAGCTTGGGAAATGTGATGTAGGGGACCCTAGGACAAATAGGAAGAAGGATGGGACGTGTTTTCCCCATACAAAATCCCAAGCCATATTTCAAGGTCTTACTAGAAGTTTGAATTAGTTATAATCCCTTCTGGTTTTAATCTCTGCATGCAGGACAGTCAACTTTGTTCTCCTGCATTTCAGTTTTGCCCTGAGCAGAAAGGTGGGCTCTGTCTCACCCAAGCAATGGACATTTCTCCATTTTGGTGAGGGGATAGTTGCAGACCTAGTTCCATTATGCATCGCTGTCATCTCTGGTAGACATCTTGACTGACACTTCTGCGGCTTGGAATGATGAGCTGTCTGAGGCAAGGAACACTCCCAGATCTCAGTGGTGGTCATCCTTGTAATCTTCTTCCTCCTTCTCATTCTCCTGCAGATCTTGGTCACTGTCATCATCATAATCTGCTGCATTGTCATTAATCACTTCAACATTCTCTCCACTTGGATCCACATCGGTCTTAAACCACACAGCTTTGTACCCTGGGTCCCCCTCATTCCTGTCTGTTTTGAGGATAGATTTCACTTCTTTTTCATGTTTAGTGTCCTCTTCCACCTTTTCCTCTTCCTCTTCTTCTTCCACCTTCTGGTCAGAAATGATGGTGAAAGCTGGGGAAGTCTGTGGAAGTCCATGAATTTCTTGTTCACTAGAAGGTGTCAAGAAAAGTGATGGCTGTTGTATCTCAGTTACTGTGCTTTCCTGCTTGTTGGCACTCAGATCAGGATGTTCATCTTGCCTGTAAGCTTGGTTGTCGTAGCTTCCAGGGAAATCCTTGGAGAACTACAGGAGAAGAGACACCTTGTGAGTGTAGTGAAAGGAAAAGAAATTGGCTGGAGGAGTGTGGCTGAAGTGACTTGGCTGGATTTTGCCCAGTATAAACCAGCAAGACTATTGGTAGTTGTGGAGATATATTCACTTTCTGCACTGAGAGAAAAAAAAAAACTTTCACAAGGGATAATTTCCCACAACTTGGAATGCTATTACACCTTCCTTCTAAGGCATGCTCCTTACAGTTGCTAACAAGTCAGTTTTCCTTTCAGAAGAGTTGAGATTCTTCATCCTAAGGCAGAGATCATCATCCAGTCTGACAACCTGAGCCCTGAGCATAGAAGCTATGAGGCTGCCAAAGACCTGAGGAGTCAGAGATGAATCAGTGCATAAAATCACTGAATACCCTGAGTTGGAAGGGGCCCACTGGGATCATCACTTTCACACATATGTGTAATATTTGGAAAGCCCATCCATACTTGAAATCCTCCTCGGGTCCCTAACAACATCTAAACAGGGGCCAGGTACAAAGAAGATACTTACTTTTTTATTAATCAGGAACTTGACTGTGTTTCCATATTGTTTATATATCATCACTCCAAGGAAGACTAAGGCAATTAATAGCAACGCAGCTAAGATACCACCTAAGATACCCATATCCTGTGCAGTGTATGTTTTATCAGAGGCAGAGGTTTCAGCTACAAGGAAAAAAAAAAAAAAAAAACCAGAAAAAAAAAAAAAACAAACAGTGTTATGAGGTCTAGCAGTGTCAACCAACTTTTTTTACCACAATGCTTCCCTTTGGGGAAAGATCCAAACACTTTTTGAAGGGCAGAGAAGCATCTTGTGCTGCAGAATGTGGCAGTGGGATATTTAATGAGATCTAAGGCCATTCAGTAGCTGCCCAAGAAGAACAGGTTTTTTGTAAGAATATTATAACTTGTGTGCAATTATAAGAAATGGAAAAAGCACCCATTTACAAGTATACGATGTTTACACACAATTTAAATAAGCAAATACGTGCACAACTGTGTTAGACAAACAGAATTAGAACTAAGTAGATCCTGTCTGTTCCCACTTCATGCATTTCCACTAGCAAGCAAAACTAAGATACATTTGGACACGTGTCTGTGAAAATGTAAAGCTTTCTTTAATGTGAAACTTCACCTTTGGCACTGATGGGCATATAAATATAGAAACAAAATATAGAAAAGGAATAAGGCTGTGCTTCTTGGAAGGAGAATGACTGACTCTGATGTCAATATGAACAACCAGGTCAGGTCTGACTTCTTTATATTTTACCAGTAGGAAGTACAGTAGTGTATCCTTCTTATGCTGAAGGCAAAGATACGAACAGCCATGAGAAAGAAAGAGATCACGTCATGAGGGAGTTTTGCTACATTTCTTCTTGCAGTTTCCTTCTTAAAGCTGATTCCAGTTTCTAAACTAGAGCTGTCAGGCTCTTTTGGAACTGGGCAAAGTCCCTTTTCTTTCCAAGAGAAGAAAAGTAGTCACAGAGATCCTTAAGACCTTTAATTTCTCTCACAGGGCAGAGTGATTCTAACAGGAAAAATTGGTAGGAGTAGTTTATGCTTTCAGCCTCTGGTCAGCATAAGTATGTTTGTATGGAGATCATCCACATTACAGTGGTGATACAGTAACTTCTACAGGGTTAAGCTTTGCTTGTAGTTGTCATTGGGTTTATTTCTTTAAGATCTCCAGCTTCGTTTTGTAATGTAAATTAATCTCTTTAAAGTTTAATGATTAATGAAACACAGCATTTTCCTCCTACTGGCCTGTTTATGACAATGGACTTTGAGTGCTCTCTCTGCATTTGATTGCACTCTCAGTTTATCATTAATAAGCCGTTGAGGGTTTAAAACGTCACTGAATTTTTAGTTCTTAATCATGTCTCCTAGGGAGACACAGCCCACAGACCTGATGTGGAGCTCCACCACTCTCAGCTCCTTCTTCCTTCTGTGCTGTGCCTCCATTGAAGCTAGCTCAGCTTGGTGAGATAACTCACTCTGAGGTCAGTGAACCAGAATACAAAAGATACCCAATCTACCTTTGGCAGCGGTGATCTCCACTGTTACTACAGTGCTTCCCTCCTGTAGACTCACTGTATCTTTTGCAACAGCCTGCGTGGGGGAAAAAAAATAGCTTGTCTCCAATGATATCTTCCACAGGAGGATAAAAGAAAAGATTTTACAGCTAGTGCCAGATACAGCCTGTATCATGCAGAGTGCATTAACCATCACTTCATCTCCCTCCATCCCTATATATTTGTGATACAAATGGCTGGGGCAAAGATTGGCCTTTATCTAATGACATCCCATCCTTGTTACTCCTTTCTTGTTACTCTCCCTTCTTTCCACAATCTTGGCCAAGGTCATAAAGAAAGTTGCTTACCTCCATGATTGCAGTCTCCGGTGAGTGCAGCATCACATTAGTCAGGATAAGTCCATCTTTGGTTGCAATGAAATTGGTGTTGTTCCTTATGTAGTACTCAATGTTTGGGTTGACTTTCTGAAAAACCAGAAGAGTGAATGATGAAACCTCGCTGTGTTTTGTGTGCATGTCTGTAAGCCTCTGTTAGCAGGACTTGTCAAATGTGCCTTCAGTATAAGCAGATGTACAGAATAGGAAATAATTCTATCATAAGAAGGTAAGAATGTATCCTAAAAGTTTTGCGTCCAAAAAACATCCCAGGACTCAACCAGCTTGTGTTGGTGTCATTAATATTTCCACAAATAAAACACATCTGTGCAAGGGATCTTCTAATTTTCATAGAATCATAGTAGCATTAAGGTAGGAAAAGATCAAGTCCAAACACCAGTACGTTGCCACTGTGCACACTAAACCATGTCCCTCAGTGCCACACTTCACAGTTCTTTGACATCTCCAGGGACAGTGACTCCATCACTTCCCTAGGCAACTTGTTTCAATTCTTTGTCACTGTTTCTGAGAAGAATCTTTTCCTAATATCCAACCTGAACCACCCCTAGTGCAACTTGAGGCCACTACCTCTTTTCCTAGATGAGAAAATTGATTAGTTCTGTCTTCAATAGGGATGCAAAGGGGCATGTAAATGAAGGACAATCCTTTTTCTGAGGTCTGCGCTATTATTTCCTTTGTCTCTAAAACTGTCACACTTTTCTGTGTTTAACAGGGAAGAAGAGAACGGCTGGTCGGTTAATCTCTTCCCCTTCCCTTTTTCTAATATTTTTTTTGAGGAATGGCTCCTTCAAAATGAGTCTTTACAGGGAGAAGGTTTAATATTTCTAGCTCAGGACTGCAAGACCTTGCTAATTTGCTCTCTGCAGACTGTCTCCTCTTCCCAGACTGGTCCGCAAGTAACAACCCTTGACCTGGCTAAGAGAAGACCCCTCTGAATGGGATCCTGCCTTTCTATCTCTTCTCAGAAGCTCAGATTTGGACCTGTTCACAGTATTGGCTAATTCTGATCTTATCAAGCATTTTGTTTTGCAGTAAATCAGCTCACCTACCTAAATCTAAGTGGGACTTGTTCTTGGAGGAAAGGAGTCCAGCAGCTTCTCCAGATTAGACCATACCACAAATGGTACTAATCTATGTAGAATTTACAGATAAATATATGGGACACTAGAGAAAACAGTGTGTTTGTCTTTCCCCACCACTTCCTCCCCATGTTTGCTTATCCCGCTTTAAGGCTGAAGCAGTGATGAAGAATTCAGTGCATTTTCTATTTCTTACATCAGGGAAATCGTCATCCAGTGCTGCTATCATCAGGGGGATTGAAGAATCACCAGCTTGGAAGACAAAACTTTTTGGGTCCAGACCAACAGACACTGTCCCTGCATAGATTCCGGACTCAAAGCGTGGTGCATGGTCACTTTTATTGATGACCTGAATTTCTACATTGGCTATGGAGTATTTCTGTTTGTTGTTGACTTGAGTGGCCTGGGGAGAAAGAGAGAGACATTCCTTTTAGTGATGAGACATAAAAAGGATAGGCTTGATACAAAACCTGCTCCAACCCATAAGCTTTCTTTCCATGATTTGCAGTGAACTTTGAGCCACAGGAGGGGAGCCTTATGGCTTGTGGTTCTTGTAGTTAAGCTTGCTTCCACTGTTGGCTGTCCACACAGTCTTGGTCTAGTCCTAACATCTGGACGCGGCTCTCTGTAAGGTCAGCTCTGGACAAATTACCATGCTCCAGAGCAAAGCATTGGGATTCCAGCATCAGCAGCCAAAGTCTGCTCTACTTCATGAGGGATTTGGTCAGTTCAGATACTTAGAGTCCACACTTCCTAGGTATATATGTGCAGGAGTGCTTTTCAGCTTCTTTCCTGAGGAGTTTCACCAAAAGAGGAGCTTTTTTTTAGGAGTGAATGACATTAACTGTTGTGACACAAGCTCCAGTCCTGTCTACAGAAAGCTTTCTACTCATCCATGCTTTGAACTCAGCAGGATGTCCTCACTCAGTTAACTTGCTTTAAAAATATAACACAATCATAAGAGAAAAGGCCTTGACTCCTGCAAAAGATTTACATGAAAACTGATATGAGATACTGATCAACTACTAGATCTAAAGGCTTTCCAAAAAAGAAGAAAAAAAAGGATGTGAAAAAGTTAGCTTTCGTTATTAATGTGATCAATTCCTGACACGACAAGATCCCTGCTTCCTAGAAAGCCAGCTATACTGGATTTCTGCTGCAGTGTCATCAGACTTACCATCACCTGTAATAGGTATGAATTTGCAGAAGTTGCTACTTTGTTCATAGTTAGATTTCCCGTGTCTGCATCCACTGAGAATATGTTATCTGAATTCCCTGAAGAAAAAAAAAGACCATTCAAACATGGGATACTTTCATAAAGTGACCTGGAGCTCATGGCTGCTCTTGGTGACAGCTAAGAACTGAGGCTACAAAAAGCTAAGCTAAGAGAGCAGTTGAGTGGGGTTTCACCTTGAATAGCTCTAGGCATCTAGCGGACAGGCATCTCCACTCATACTTGTTACCTATCTGACTAATTGTGGATATGGTCATTATGAGTTGCATTCTTCTCTGGAAACACTTATTTTTCTCTGCTGAGTACAAAAGGAGACTAGACACAGAAGCCTTCTTGCACTGATATAGAGGTAAAAATCAGCCTCATATATCACTGCTTTCTGTCTGAATCATAAAACCATCTATGCTGGACGTACAGTAAGATATAAGTATCATTTTTGCTTGTGTTCCTTACTCTTAGATGCTATAGGCTGTATTTAGACAAGATCTCCCTTATCGGGTTCCCACTGACTGTGGGAAGCTGAGGCCACACTACATCCAAAATGGAATCTGGGGTTCAATGATGTCTTCACTATCAGAAAGATAGTCACAGATATGGGACCATGTGGAATAAAAAAAGTCATCACTCTTCCTGACCTGTATTATCTGCCTTTGCCTTGGTGGTTAATCTAGAAGCCACTGTCACAATAAATAAATAAATAAATAAAAATAGTCTTTTGAATGTAACGGATGGCCAAATGGCCCAGCCAATGATTGGGCAATCATTTCACTGTATTCAAGTAACCTTTTTAAAATCAAGGATAAAACAAGGCAGATTAGACTGTGGTAAATGAACAGAGGAATAAGAGCATGAAATGATGAATGAAAATTATGCCGAGGATGTGGGAGTTTTTAGGTTCAGCTCAAAGACTGCGTGAGAGTGGTGTGACCAGACTGGCAAAGTCAAGTCTAAAAGCTTAAAAATGAAACATGGCTCACTACCCAAAAGTGAGGGGAAGTCCTTCTGAAACACAGTTTGTGAAGCTTGTTTTATGGGCTGGAAGTTTTCTTCATCTTCCTCTCTGTGCGATCTGTTTCTTCTATTTAATCCACAATGTTCTGTGCATTTAATTATTTTTCTGTGTCAGAAACAGAGGGGTAAATCTGCAGGCCATTAACTCTCATGTGCTGCCAAGGGTACGTCCTCTTGGCAACTAATATAGGAGATATAAGAGTAATGCAGTTTGGAGAAGGTGACAAATTCCACTCACCACCAACAATACTGTACACAATTTTTTCATTTAAAATGTAGTCAGGATCGATAGCATAGATGGGCCCTGGCTCCAAGGCAAGCGGTTCAGTCTGCAATGGAAAGGCAAAGTATTACATAATATGCTACAACACCAAGAGCTATCCAGTGCTCTTCCATCCCAGCATGGCTCTGCTGGTTTTACCCGAGCAGAATCAGATTAATTGCTGGGGACGGAGGGAAGGAAGGAAAACTTTCACTTTCCAGGGTGATGAAGACTGCGTTTATGCCTGGAGATCAGCACAAGCTCGTGACAATGATTAGGTGCTAATAGCATGAGGGATACCATTTTATCATGCCTTCTTACCGACATCTCGGACATATTGACTCTGCCAGTATAGGTGCTGCTGATGCAAATGCTTCTTTCCGTGTCAATGAAGGTGCAGGGTAGGAACCAGGGAGGTCTGGTGTCAGCTTGCTCAATAATTATGTTAATTGTTGCAGTAGCTGTATGAATGATTTCGTTCGTGCCCTCAATATTGTCCTGTACCCAAAAACAAATTGTATTTGTAAGATGCAGTTTTATTGCCTGAAGATCCCACCTGGAAAACCAGTGGCCCAAGGTCCCCTAGCTGTTCTAACTCCATTCTGTCTGAGGTGTATGAACTCATGAAATTAGCTCAGTCAATCATCTGCTGACATTCTGCTGATAAAGGTGCGCTGAATGCAGGTCTGGTAGCAGCGCTGCAGTCACATGTGATTATGGAGGTGGAAGGCTGCTCCAAACCCACTGCCCTCACTATCTACCCTCCTTCCTGCCATCTGAGAGACCTCTCATTCAGACTTACCCAAAATATGCTCCAAAATAACTTACCATTGCATACAAGAGCAATGTTGCGAAGTTAAATTTGTCATAATTCAACGCTTTTTGTAAATAGATTTCAGGGTTATTGACTCCTTTTATGGCAAAATAATCGTTGGTGTTCTGTGGGGGGAAGAAATGGAAAAGCTCTACTAGCAGTTGTGATCAAAGATAGGTTTAAAAACGCTGTCTCTGGATTTAAACCAAGAAGAAAATGAAGTCTGCCTTTGTCATTGATAAAAACTTCTGAAATCTTGGGCAGATCATGCTATCCCCACTTTGCATTGGCTCTGTAGACAAACAAGATAACAACAACAACTTTCTCTCTCTGACTCAGTGCATTTCTGAGCTCCATGAAGTTCAAAGATCTCTCCTGATCTGTTTAGAGACCATCCCATTGTGACTTCCCTGAATCCCATGACTCAAAATGTCTTAGATGAGAGTTTGAGCTGTACTGTGTGATAAAACCATAAACAAGAAAATTTCAGTATCAGCAATATCAATTGCAATGTTCTGCTAACCAGACCAACACTTGGTTCTTGCAGAAGGCATACCTCTCCAAGAAGATGCTGGAGAACCATATGCCATACAGCAATCCTCTAGTCTCAGAGCTGGGGCTCATCTGAATCAAACACAAGGACTTTTTCAGAGCTACACTTTTTTCTCCCAAAGAAGAAAGATGCTTACCTGTGCTGTCGAATTGAGTTTGTAGTAGATTATGTCCAAGTCAGCATCACTAGCACTTACATCTTCACGGGCTACAATGGTTGCATTCACTTTTGTGTCCTGAAACAAAGTTGTTGTGGTTATTCTCTCTGTGAAATTGGCTGAAGACATCTCCCTGGTAGAAATCCCTTAGTCCCACAGCACTTGGTAACACATTTCTGTGAAATCCTTACCTCAGGTATAACTCTGGTGAGGTTGGTTTCCGGAAACACTGGGCTGTTATCATTCAGATTGAGAATGGTCACAATAATTGTCAGGCTGTAACTCTGCAGATGGAGTAAAGCGAGAGAATCAAAGAGAAAAAAAGAGACTTAGGGGTTGCTAACAGATTACCAAGTGGTAGAGGGGATGGTGTAAGGAGCACACTTGGGTGGGTGCTGTATGGGGCTGTGTTCAAGGGACATTTGGACACTGTGTTGAGGGCTGGATGATCTTTTCCAGCCTTTTCCAACCTTGGTGATTCTATGATTCTATGATTTACAGACAACCCACTATGTGGGGGGTTTGCAATTTGTTCCCATCCCTGCCATTCGCAGAGCCACTAGGACGAGATGAGGGATGCACATGCTTCCCTGTGCTGCCTTATAACAGAACTGAGTGTTTGGAAGAGCACTCACCTCCCCAGCATTGTTGTCACAAGTCAGGATCACTAACAGCACAGTGTCAGTCTGCATGCAAAAACAAACATTTAGAAATACACCAACTCTTTCTGAATCAGCAATGCTTCTGGGCTTTATCTTGTTTTCAGACATATCTAACTATTCCCTTCTTTCTTTTACAGCCATTCATCAACACTGGGCTCTTTTTTATACTGGAGTCAAAGCTGACTGATCAAGAGCTTCTTTGTGATCCCTGTAACATGGCAGAAGAGCTAATTAACTATTTTCTCCTACTTTAGGTAAGTTCAAACAGAGATTTCTTTTTAAATTGAATGAAACAGAAATGTGCTATGCAGCAAGTACAGCATCGCCTGCAGGGTGTTACCTTTGCCTGCTATTCTTTATTCAAACATGGGTTTTTTACTTTTTTGGAAAGGCATCTTAAGGACACTTGTGGCTGCATACAGAACTCGGCAGGGAGGTAGAATAGTTTAGCAGCTTCCTAACTAAACACACTGAGCTTTTACGCTGCCTTTATGCACATCACCTCACTGCTCAGAACTGTATTTCGGAACAGGCAAACAGGGATCCTTTCACATGAGTCCTGGGAAGCTCTGAACACTGCTGTTGTCACCCTTCTGGTTTAAAACCTTCTGCTTGCTTTTATTCTTACAGATTTATTGAAAGAAGGTTGCAACAAGCATATCATGCAACCACTCCTCATCCACGACCTCTGCCTGTGTAAGGGCTGATCTTCCATCTGAAATAGGCTTATTTTTCAAAGGTATTACCTTTATGCTTTAGACTTGGGCTACAAATTCCTGGAAGACCAAGATCTCAGGCTGAAACCCACTGCATCCCAGCATTACCCAACTCATCCTTACAGTCTGCCCACTGAAGGCTTACTTCATAGTCCACGCTTTTGCTCAGCTGCAGCTCGGACCCCTGGATGACAAAATAATTGCCATCTGGAGAGCTAGGATCGATAGTTACAGTGAAACCTGGTTCCACAGAGATATTGGCCACAACATGTCCAGGATTGTTATTTTCAGGAACACTCGGATTGCTATCGGAGACAGAACATCCTGGGGAAAAAAAACCCCACACAAATGAATTACGAAATTGCCTGCAATCCATGTTGTGTTAGAATTAGATAGAACTGAGGTCCCTCTGGTTACCTTTGGAGAGAAAGCCCTTGAACAAAGTTGTCCTAGAGTAAGACTCTAAAAATCATTTGCTGGCTGCAGTGGAGCAGCCTGGTGCCAAGGGGATTATTCTTCTGTGGTCACAGACCTCCAACAACTTACCTTGTGCTGTTACAGAGAGCAGCAGAAAGAGCACAGAAGCCAGGAGCCAGTGAGAAACACCCATGGTGAGCTGCAGTGTCGAAGAAATCCCTGTTTCTAATCAAGCTGATTGTCTTCTCTCCCTTTTTCACAGTACTTTCCGCATTCACTGCTTCAGGAAGGCAGAAAAACATTGGGTGACAGAGAGCGCTGCTGCACTTCAACCTTTGCCTCATCATCTCATTGGACGACTTTTAAGACATTTGCTGGCACAGAACATGATAACGCATGAATTCCGTTTTCTGCTTTGTTTCTGGGCCTTTTCTCCCTTCAAATCTCTTTAGCAATGAGGGAATATTTGGAGCACTTTTACAGGGTGGGTTTTCCTGCTTGTTCTCTATCTTGGTTCAGTTGTATCCAGAAGGCTTTATCTCTTCCTCTCTCAGAACTACAAGCTGAAATGTTTGATGATATTTAGCCTTGGGGAGCTTGTCCTGTGCATTTCTCCTTTCCAAGTGCCGTGTCAAGACCTGGTGGGACACAGGTGAATGCTCCTTAGCAAGAATTTTGGCAGTACTGCAGTAAATCTTTTTAGAGGATGGTTGGAGAAGACAAAAGTCTGGAGTGATTTGGGTAAATAAGTGCATAGAGGGCCTCCCATCACTTGCTCAGAGAGTCTGTTTTTATTGTGAAGTCAAAAAGAAGGTTGGAAGATAAGCATGGTGCCATGCAGAGGACTCCAGGCTCTGCTTTACTGCCCTGTTGCACCATCATTTACGTAAGCTGGACTTTGGCCAAACCTTTATAACCTTAATTTTCCTATATCTAAATGGAGAGAAATAATTACCATCTTTCTGTTTTAAGTCACTGCATAGAGCACGGCCAGATAGTGTTGTGGGGAAAGGAGCCTTTGTTGCCACATAAATGACATTCCTGTGCTTTGATCTGTCTCTTCAAGGCAAAGTCTAACTTCTTTACAGTAAGTCTTTTCTCAGAGGAAGATGACTTAATGCCAGTCTGGTTTATCTACAAGGCTGTTTCTTTCCTAATTGTTTTATGTTCCCAGCTGCTGGCGTGCGCGTTGTCAGTGCTTCCTCCTGTGATGATGTGCACTGCAGCCTTACAGGAGGAATGGCTTTCCTCATACCTGGAGTCTGCCATTTTCTGAGAAAGAATCTGAGAGAGTAGAGGTCCTGGTGTTCATCAGATAGAAAGTGGGAAATGGTGCGCGGGATACTGTGTGTATCAGTATTAAAAGCACCTACTGACAGAAGACCTCACGTTCAGGGCAAAGGTAGGGCAAAATGAGGCATATTAATTCATTTCTGAAGAACTTCATGGTTTAAGTGAAGAAAAAGCCATCTTGGCTGCCCTTTTGTTTCAATGGCAAAGAAAGCTAGTCCATGTGTAGGTCCCTAAGCTGAGATAATCAGCCATGTTTCTGTGACAATCTTGTTACTCTCAGTCACCCTAGGATACCCAGATGAAGTGAGCAGAGTGGATCCAAAAACAGTGATCAGACCCAGATGCAGCTCTGTGATTGCCCAGCAGCTCAGCAGGGACAATGCACATCCTCTTCCACCAGTGGCCAGCAGCAGTTTTTTATATGGATGCTCCCCTGAATTTCCATCCAGGCTCCAACAGTTTACACCTCAGCAGCTTCCTGAAGCCTCAGTAGTGTGCTGTTACATGCTCTTGTCCTGCCTCTTTCAGAGCCTGTGTAAATTTTTCCAAGCCTAATGCCATGTGGCAATGCATTTGGCCACTTGTATGGACAAAAAAACATGAGACATGCTTATGTTTAAATGATGGGAACAAATTCCTTCCAGCAGAGTTTGACTTCAGTGGCTTTGAGAAGGCTGGGCAAGATAAGGAGGGGAAAATGGAGCAAAATCCATCTGTATGTATCTCTATTGTTTAGCTCTCATTACATTTCCTTCTAATAACATCTAGCACCTGGGTAAGTTTTTGCTAAATGGTGCCAGCTTTGTTGCTGGCTTCTTTGGACAGCTGAGCTCTGGGCAGTGCTGAGCCTCAGCCTGAGCAGATGTGGCCAGAGCCATTAGCTATTCCCTGCGTGCCTGTGTATACAGACAGGGGAAGCATGACTAAGCATTTCTTGCCCCTACATTGCATTCCTAATGACCCAACACCTACTAAAGGTGCGACCCTCACCATGTTTCCCAAATTATGGCCAAAACATAGCTAACATATCTTTGTTGGAAGTAGACAGTCAGATGCTAACGCATCAGAAGTGATGTGCATTGCACAACCTCCACCTATTGACACCAGTTCACACCAACATGCATTTTAATCTTGATTATCTAAGAGGTTTTATTGTTGGTTGTGGGTTTTTTTTTTTTTTTTTTTTTCTGCTTTCCAGAATTTTGTTTTATTTGCTGATCTCAAGAGCTTTTCCAAAGAAAAATCCAATGACTTTTCGCTTTATTTTCAAGGTTGTTTACATGCAAAATCATCTCCTTGGTTGTTTCTGACAGAACATTGGTTTTCCTTTCACCTTCAGTCAAAAACAACTCCCTTCACATCTGTCACCAGCTGCAGAGCGGGCAAATGTACCGGCTGGTAACTGCAGCAGCTTCCTTGGCATCGCTGTCTGAGTGACTGTGGAGAGGGTGAAAATGAACAGCAGTTTGTTATTTCTGTGGGAAAGAACCACGGGAAAAGGGAAAAGGGCACCTGGCAAAATTCAGAGGTGATAATAAGGAGGAGATGTGTGATGGGGGGGCCTGGATTGCTGCTACCTGATGTCAAACACCTCACAGATGTACAGACAAGGTTACTGACCTCACCACAGAATCACAGAACTCCATTATGGTTTGAGGTAGAAGGAGCATTTATAGACAATCCAGTGCAACCCTTCCCATGGGCAGGGACACTTTCCACCAGACTGGTTTGTCCTAAGCCCCATTCACTTGGGGCATCCCTGGGCAGCCTGTGCCCTTACATAGCAAAGTGTTTCATTCTCACATCCTATCTAAATCTACCCTCTTTTATTTAAAGCCCTGACCATTTTCTTGTCAGTACATACTCTTATAAAATTTCTGTCTCCATCTTACAATTCCCCTTTATGTACTGAAAAGCCTCAGTAGTTTCTTCCCTGAGCGTTCTCTTCTTCAGCCTGAACAACCCAAACTTTCTCAGCTTTTCTTCATAGCAGAAGTGCTCCAGCCTTGTGACCATCCCTCATTATTCTAGGCAATGCGGGCAGCTGGCATATTCCTCCTATTTTTAGTGGTTTTATACTGAGATGTCTGGTTGAAAACAATTGGCCACTGGGAAGATGCAATGTCCAGACAAGGGGTGTGCTTGAATCATTTCCTGAATCCTGAATTGATTGGGTCTTCTGATGAGCTGTGCCATCAGCTTAGTCCAGAATAACAACTCTACAATTAGAAAAGGATCTTAGCTCATTTCCCTGGGCTTTATTATTTTTTTGTTACTGGCTTTTATATGGCACATCTTACCTGTAAATCTTAATGTCAACATTACTTCAGATAAAGCACAACAGAGTGCCAGGCAAGCTCAGCAGGTAGAAATAGAAATTACCATGAATGCGGAGACAAAAATCAATTGAGAGTGCACACATCTTCCTGCCACCTTGCAGTCTGACCAAAACATTTGCTTTTTTAGCTCTGCAAACCACCCCTGAGAGCACAGCTTTTGGCAGAGCACACGCACCTGCTGTTCAGAAAGCTCTGGTACAGCCACATATAGCAAAGGTCCTCATTGCTGCTTTCTCTCTCCTTCTCCTGCATTTCTGTTTTGACCAGGCCTGAATTGCTGCTTTAAATAAAGAATAATAAGAGCAGTAATAATAAAGGAGGGTAACCACCACAGCTGTGAAGCAGCACTGCCCTCTGGAAGGCAGGTTGACCCACCAGGAAGCCCAAAAAAGAAGAGCTCTCACCTGCGCTTGCGGCCCATTAGATTTTGGATAAATTTCTGAACCCGAGCGTTTCCTCTCATCTTGCTGTATTCACTGGTGAACAATCCATCTGAGTGCCTCTGAGTTCTGCAGCAGGAAAAAAACAACAGAATGACTGCAACTCCCATCCATGCCATTATCTCAGCGCTCGGAAATTTCTCCAGTGTTTGGGAGACCCGTATCCCTCCCCTTCTGTCTCCTCCCATCTTCTGCATCCACTGGATGAGGCCACCACTGAGGCATTGGAATTGGAAGAAACTCAGCCCCATGGACTTCTCATTCATTGCTGGAATCTCATCTCCCACTCTCCCTGCGCCAGGAGGTTGGATTCAGCTCCTTCCTACCTCTCCTTGAGGCCCATCAGGTGTTTCACTAGCTGCTGCACAAAAGCGTTGTCATTCATCTTGCTGAGCTCACTGTGGAAAAGCCCATCAGCATGTCTCTCAGTCCTAGAGATGAGAAGACAACGAAAGACATGGTTTTAAAACTGGAGAATAATGGGCACTTAAAATTGCTCTCTCAAGAAAAGAGGGTCCCAGGCAAAGATGGGTAAGAATTTGTGCTTATTTGGCAGTTTCACCAAAAGAAAAATACATATCTTAAGAATTTTAAAGAAATCTCTCTCCTAACCAGCACACAGCAAAACCATGCTCTTGTTTCTTGCTAGTATCGTCAGCTTATCAAAAGGATGTGGGGGTTTGAGGATGTCTGGTTAACACTTAACTGAGCACAAAAGTATGGGACAAGAGTGGAGGAGGAAGAAAAAGAACATCCAGACAAACAAACCCTGAGGACAAGGTAGGTTATGGTAGTCCTACCACATTCAGCACTCACTGGTGGCTGATTCACAAAGCACTGACAAACGTGCTCAAAACCTCAACAATGTTCAACCAAAGCCAGCAGGCTCCAAAGCAGGCTGAGCAGTGAGTGGGATAAAAGGTCTGGGACGCTGACGTTGGTCTGGACCAGCTTCAGGAGAGTGCCCCTCATGTGAGTGTGTGTCTACAGCAGTGATAGCATTATGGATAGTGATAGCTAGGCCAGGCAGTAGTAGTGGCCACGGAAGGGCTGCAAGGGTCTTAGCTCTGCCCTGCAGCCTAAGACCTTTAGTTACTCTGGCCTTAACTGCTCTATTTAAACTATTTAAAAGAGAATTCCCCTTTTACCAGTGAATTAGCAGGACAACAGATTCAGAAGTGTCTTTTTTATGTAGTTTGGTCTGTTAGGGGTCATGATTTTAGTTCTCAGTGAAGTCCAATCAATGCTT